TGTAGAAATGTTCTTTGCAATTTTATAAAGGGAACATTAGATATGTCTGATGATCGAAGTTGGATGTATCGTTAGTGAGATGATAGGGGTTTATTCATTGAGGATTTTAAAGTGGGTGCTGATGCATTCCTCAAATTTGTATTTTCACAACAAGATCCAAAGATTTCTTGTCACAACGTGATTCAGTGTCTATATGCTTTGTAAAAATATAGATTGGCATACATGTAGCATGGTTGGTATGCATCTTTATGCTAATGGTTTCATTTATGGGTATCATGTTTGGAGTTACCATGGAGAATCTAGTGCAAAATGAAGACGTTGTGATATGGGTCAATCATCATCCTTTGTGTGCAATGATCCATATAGAGAAATGGTCATTAATGTAATGGGTTCACAATGGCATGAAAGTGGATATTTTTGGTGATATAGGTTGAATGAATCAAATTGGTGAAGTGGAAATAGGTAGTGCAAAACAAGTATTTGAGTAGTGGAGAGGCAAAGGAATTTTTGATCTCTTGCAAGCCGTTGCAACACCACTTTTTGATGGATGTGATGGGGCATTAAAGTGTTGGGTAACTTATATGCTCAACACAAAGACGTTTTATAACATGAGTGTGGCTAGTTGGGACAATATGTTGCAGGGCATTTTGATGGGGTTAAGAAAGAGGATTAGTACAGAATGCCAAAAAACTATTATAGTACAAAGAAAATGTTGAGGACGCTTGGTTTTGATTATAAGAAGTATGATATTTGTGTCAAAAATTGTGTGCATTACTACGATGAATTACAAAGCAATAAAAATAGAGTCAGCCCAATTTGTTGTGAGCCATTTTACAAGCAGAGGAAGAACCTAATTAATAAGCTATAGAGGGACATACCAAGGAAGTCATTATGGCACCTCCCGATTATACCTAGACTTTAAAGACTCTTTATGTCTAAAAAAACTATAGAACACATGACATGGCATGTTAGGTGTTGTAATGAGAATGAAAAGATTATTCATCCTGTTAGGCCAAAGGCGTGACAACACTTTGATCGTACCTATCTAAATTTTGCTTTTGAGCCTAGGAATGTGAGGCTTGGCTTATGCACAGATGGGTTCTCTCCTTTTGGACAATCTACATCACCATATTCATGTTGGCCAGTTTTTATTACCGTTTACGACCTCCCTCCATCTATGTGTATGAAACCAGAGTACATATTCTTGAATTTGATTATTTTTTGCCCTTAAAGTCCAGAAAAGAACATTGATGTGATGCTGCGGCCACTCATGGATGAGCGTAAGTAACTATGGGCACATGGTGTTAGAACTTATGATAGCTTTAGGCATCAAAACTTTAACATGAGGGTAGCCCTTATGTGGACGATAAGTGACTACCTAGGGTATGGTATATTGTTAGGATGGAGTACTTATGGGAAGTTGTCATGCCCATATTATATGGAAAACACTTGGGCTTTCTACCTTCAAAATAGAAGGAAAATATCCTTCTTTCATTGTTATCGGCAATTCTTACCAACCAATCATCCGTTTAGATCAAGCAAGAATGACTTCTTTAAGAATCGTGTCAAAAAACTTGGCCACTCGCCTAGGTTGTCTAGTGAACAGGTTTGGGGCCAAATCCATTATTTTTCAAACATTCAATTTGGAAAGCCAAATAAGAAGAAAAGCATTCCTAATTTTGGTGACTATCATAGTTGGGTAAAAAAAGCATCTTTTGGGAGCTCCCATATTGGAAAACAAACTTAATTTGACACAACTTAAATGTTATATATTGTGAGAAGAATTTTTTTGATAACATCCATAATACAATCATGGATGACTTGAGTAAAACGAAAGAAACTGTTAAGGCAAGAATGGATATAAAAGAATACTGCAAAAGGAAAGGATTGTGGATAACTGAAGAGGGTAGGAAGTCTCAAGCCACTTATGTTCTTAGTAAGGATTAAAGACAGTATATGAGTGGTTGAAGGACTTGAAATTGCTTGAAGGTTATACATCAAACATTTCATCTTGTGTGAACATGCAGGAAGCTTGATACAAGGGTTGAAGAGTTACATTTGTCATGTATTCATGCAAAGGCTCTTGCCACTTGCATTTCATGATTTATTGCCCAATACAATATAGGAGCCACTTGTTTAAGTTAGTGACCTTTTTCAAGCCTTGTGTGGGTTACTGATTTAGGTCAAAGGTATGGATGTTTGGGAGGAAAAAATTGTGGAAACTATATGCAAACTTGAAAGGATATTTCCACTTGCATTTTTTTTATTTGATGGAGCGCTTAGTAATGCATTTGTCATATGAGGTAAAAGTGGGAGGACCTGTTCAATTTCATTGGATGTATCCACATGAGCAGTAATTATAACCACTTTTATACTTATTTCATCACATTTAATTCTTCACAAAAATATTTGTACGTAACATCTAACAAAGATCTTTGATTTAACTCAAATAGACGGATGCATGATTTAAAGTTAACTATGGGGAACAAAGCACAAGTAGAAGAGTCTATACGTGAGATTTACATTATATCTTAAGATCTCACAATTTTGCTCACATTACTTTGATGGAGAGGTGGACACTTGAGTTAGCTCTTTATCAAGGAATGAGGTTAATAGAGGAAATGATATAGATGTTGATGGACTATTGATCTTCAATTCTCTTGGTGAACCAATTGGAGGCCAACTCCCTTATCAATATACCCAAAAGGAGTACAAAGCTGCTACACTTTATGTTCTAATGAATTGTGAAGAGATTAGGGAATGGGTTGAGTAAGTAACAATACCATGTGAAAATCATTTTGCTAACACTTATAGATTGGCTCTAATAACCTTCTATTGTAGGTTATTTGAGGCACAAGAATGTCACAACATGACACCCCAACAAATCCAAGAAAAGCGTTCAAAATATTTAGTTTCATGGTTTAAGAAATTAGTAAGACTCCCTCCAAATCTTTGAACAATGTTTCCAAATTTCAAAGTATTTACCTATACCAACAGTCATATGTTTTTTTATATAGGTTCTAAGTGGTGAATTTGAAGTAGATGATCACCTAATTGGGTTGGCCATAGTACTTATTGCTCAAGTGTCATCATTCAAAGGCTACATTGTGAATGGTTATTAATTCCAAACTATTGAGTATGGATATAACAAAAAGACCATGAATAGTGGTATGTGTGTCATTGATGGTGGATTAGATTACCGTGGGATGTTGGAAGAACTTATAGAGCTTGAGTACTTAGGTTCAAAGCACAAATAAATGGTTGTTCTATTTAAGTGTGATTGGTGTGATATCACCCCAAGTCGAGGAGTTGTGGTTGACCAAAATCACCATCTAGTGGACACTAACCCAAAGTCCAAATTGAGAACATATGAACCTTTCATCCTTACTAGTCAAGCCCAACAAATGTATTACGCTCAGTACCCATCAATGAATTCTTGAAGAAAGGGATGGTGGGCAGTGATTAAGACTAAGGCAAGGAGCTACATTGACATGCCATTAGAGTTTTTAATAGAACAAGATGGAGATGAGGCTTATTTCCAAGACCATAACCCACCCACACCTCAACTTACCAATGTTGATATCATCACATTTGAGCCTATTGTGCATATTGATGGGAGTCCTATAGAGATTTTTGAAAAAAAATTAAAACAATGAGGTAAAGGAGACTGATAGTGATGATGAAGAGGTTGAGTGTGACTTCTACAAGACATCTGAAGAAGAAAATAATAATTATATATCAGAGAATGAAATTGACTAAATTACATTATGTACATTGATATAAACTAATAAATTAATGATATTATCTTTTAAGTTATAGCTAATTATGTATTGGTTCTGACATATATATTGCCTTTCTACTTACTTTAAGTTACAAAAATTATTTTATCATACGTGTATTAGGGCATTTTTAATAAGTCTATGGCACCATTAACACAAATATATATTCATAATTAAATCCTTAACCAATCAAATTACCAAAAACTTTATTTTATTTAGTATAATTTTGGTTTTGAGTTTTTTGTCTTAGTTTTCAAAAATTTAAAAACCGTAAAATAAAATTAAGTAGTTTAATAAATTAATTAAGTTTGGAGTTTTATGTATTTTTTTAAAAAATTTTATATCCAATAAATTGATAATTTTTATTTTTATTTTTGATTTTTAATTATTAATTTTGATTGTTTGAATTTTAAACACCAAAACCAAAATCAACAAAAATTTTATATCCAATATATTAAACAAAGCCTTAGTTTATAAGCAAATCCAAACAAATTGGATTGTTTCACCTGTTGGCACAACCTTTTCCCACAAATTCCATCAAGGAGAAGTATTTGTTGAAGAGATTTGTGTGATACTAATATAGGTGAAGAGACTTTTCTTTTGAAAAAAAAAAAATCTTTGTTAATGTGTGATACAATGATGAATTGGAAACAAAAGAAGTTCTGAGCATCAACAAAAATTTTGTTAATTTGATACATTAAAATATACCTTAATTACTTTCCCTTTTTACAGCATAATCCTTGAAATCCAAAAAAAAAAAAGAAGAAGCTGAAATAGATGATCAAGAAGCATCTCTAAGAGCAATGACATGGTGTTTGGATAGTGCTTGCAAGAGAATTATGCATGCATAATTCTCGATTAGATAGAAATTGATTTGATTTGTTTGTTGAAATATCTTGAGTTATTTGAGTGGAAAAATTAAACAAAAGAATTTGGGGGTATGTAAAAGAATGAATCTTTTCTTATCTATGCTGTTTCAAGTGGTACTTAGTCACAATCAACATAAAAAATTGGGATGTACAATGGTAATTAGAAAGCAATTAATTAAGGCCTTACTATACTCAAATATATTATTTGATTTAAGAAGGCAATTACTTGATTTGATTAATCATCAAATGTAGTCTCTAAGGAATCTTTTTTAAGTGTTGTTTCAAGTGCCATTTAGTGCAAAGAATGAAGTCCCATCCATATAAAGACACATTGATAAGTTCTAGAACACCCTAGGGGGAAGGGGTTCAGTTCTTGATTTCCTTTTCCATCTTCCCCATCTCTTAGCTATCCCTGCAATATTAAACCCATGTGTCTTATCCATGTGGCAAGTTCTATGCAAAGTAACTGAAAATTAATATCGAAAATTCAAAATGCACAATAGTCGTGGAGATGAAAATATTACTTGAATTTGTTATAGAATGAATATTATATTGGGCTTAAGAAAACAAAAAGGAAAGGAAAGGATACATATGAAACATTGTTTGTCAAATTAAATTAAAAAAATATCTTATCTCTATCATTGAATTCCAATTGTTGAAGGATTTGGATGGACCCAAAACTAAATTTGTGTTTTTTTAATTAAATAATAAATTATACAATAAAAAAATATTATCTCTATTTGTCTCAAAAAAAAAAAAATTAAATACGAGATCTCTAATTAATAATTTCATATTTTAGTTCCACGAATTGTAGTACCCTATCTAACGTAGTTGATGTTGCAAGTGATAAGGAGAAGAAACTAGATTTTTTTAATTTGTGCTTTAAGGGTATAATTAATATATATTTTAATCATTAAATTATATGAAAAATTTAAACGATTGACATTAATTTTAATATTAATATCACGTAGATTAATTATTAAAATTAAAGTTTTAACTTTACTTTTTTATACAACTTAATAATTAAAATACGCATTAAATATAAATGTGCATTTATTTTTTATTTTTATTTTTTTGACTGGTAATGTTATTAATATGAGTTCAAATGATAATTAAACCTATATCTAACAAAAAAATGTTAAGATGAGATTGATCAAGTTTGCAACGTCATGGGAACCAAATTTGTATTGAAAACACTCCCACCCATATAATTGCATCTATTTTTGTTTCCTTTTAATTCCCAGCATGTATAGTCTTGGCTCATTAGACCACTAAAAAAAACTAAAACAACATCCCCCAACATTCCTTTGGCCCAATAAAATGATCTGAACTAGACAAGTTCAAATAGCATTTCCACATCAATTTGATTTTCTTTAAATATCCTTTTGTTCTATCCCAGTTAAATAAACCAAATGCTTGCAATGTAGACAGTCCTCCACCCTACACTCATCCCTTTTGATCTTGTTATGTTGCAGAGCAAATCCAAGGCTAGACTACAACTCAGAGAAATGAATTGGCATGATCCTTTCAATACAAATGTGCAAGTTAGAAAAATTCAAAAAAATTAAGTTGAAATGAATTGGCATTTTCACAATATCATACATCTAATAAATGATGATTCAAATGTTAAAATGATTGTTTACTAATCAATCAAATAGAAGTAGCCCATAGCCTCACATATAATTTTTATAATTTTTTTTTTACTCTGACCAATATTAAAATGATTGATAATTTTTATTTTTATGTTTGAGCATACAAGTAATCTTTTTTTTTCTTTTTTGGGTGTTGTAAGATGTCTCTTTGCAATCCTAGTACAGGAGGTAATAATATTTTAATTGCTAAGACAAAGCAAGGGCTAGGGACCTAAGCCACCAAAACCACACAACTCAATGCTCACACCCAAGTTGGGTGAGGATCAAACACCTTCTTTTGAACCAGTAGACCTTGAACAAGTCATTCTTACCTCAGAACAACAAGATGTTGGGAGTGATTCTGATCATGAAAAGCTCCCAAGGAAGAGAGGTTGGGGAGTTGCAAAAGGGTATGAAATGCCAAGGAACCTAGTTGATCAGACATGGATCCACACTGATGAGCAAGGGAGATTACCACATGGGATGCTGCCAGATAAGGTACACAGCGCCATCTCCTTATAGCTAAAGACATGCTTGCCGACACCATACACAGCTTATGGTATGGTGACTGCCCCACATTTATATATTTATTGGAACAAATTATGTGTAAGTACTCTATGAATTTGAGTTTTAGTATTATGATTAACTTGTATGCTCAAACATGGTTAGCTAATATTATGATTATTTTTAGGCAACATTCTAGTGGGAAGAAGTAGATCGAGGGGTTATATGGAATGTGTGGTTGGCGGAGTGTAATAGAAAGATGACCGGTACTATGTCCAAATTGAAGGCTTGGTATGCTAAGGAAAAATTCCAAAAAATGCCATCATAAATTTCCCCCTCAGTGTAGTCGGGCCTTGTAAAGATTTGGATAGAGGATGAAAAGCATAAGAAAGCATCAAATATTGCATGGGTAACTTGGGAAAAAGGACTCGTTGTGACTCATATTAGAGGCTCCATGTCACATAAGAAGTACGTGGAAACTTGGTACATTCAACTTTTACTCTCTTTTTTTTCCCTAATGAGTACATTCAACTTTTATTTTTAATTTAGTTTATTAACATATTTTTAAGCTAATTAGTTAACTAATAACTTCCAAAATTCTTTGATATTCTAAAAAACTCAAATGCTTAACAATCAGTCACCACTTGCCTAGGTGGTTACATGCACAGGCATTCCAAGCCTAGTCTCACCCAGGAAGTGCCACGCGTGTTTGTAATATGGTTGTTGAAACAATTGTGGTAATATTATATGATCATTTTTTACCTTATGATAGTTTGATTAGTTTTACTTGAGTATATATAAACTCAAAATTAAATTTTATACCATGTTTGATAGTGTTGATTTCAATTTGATAAAAAAATGTCATCTACCATATAATTTATAAATATTTAGTGAATGACTTGAGTGATGAAGTTGCGCATTAAGGACTTGAATGGTGGAGTTACGCATTAATGACTTGAATGATGGAGTTGTGTCTTAAATAAGTGTTTTTTTATAAGGGAATGTGGTGTTAAATTTACTTGATAACATGGCCTAAGTCTTATTTTTGGGGGAGATTTTGCCAAATTTTCATTTGATATTAACAACTAATATGATTTTAAATTAATTTTTTAGTTCCTTTTTTTTTTTTTTTTGCAGAATGGTCATGAATGACACAAGAACTTAATCTAGAATTTAAAATGTTAATCAAATTAATTAAAAAATAAAAAAATGAAAGTGTTTTGGCATTAGTTGAAAAATAAAATGTAAATTTATAAACACTTAATATTAAGGATTTGTTTTGTTTATAGAAAATGACTTCTAAAAAGTTATTTTCTACATTTATTTGGTAAGCAAAGAGAACAGTGTCATTTATCATATGATTTATAGATATTTAATGAATCACTTGAATGATGGAGTTAGATGTTAAATAAGTGTTCTTTATAATGGAATTTGGTATTAAATTTATTTGCTAACAGTGGCTAAATCCTATTTTAGAGGAGATTTTGTCAAAATTTATTTTGATATTAATAAATGATATGATTTGAAATTAAATTTTCAATTATTTATTTATCTTTTTTTTTTTTTTTTTGCAAAATGGTGTAGTGTCATGAATGACATAAGAATTTAATACACCTAATAGCACACAATGGCAAATGGATGATGAGATGTATGGGCGGGCCTTGGTTGATATAAGAAGAGGGCCTCGAAAAGGTTTTCTAGTTGGGTTACCACAACATGAGAGGCCAGAGTCTATAGGTATATACATGCGACAACGTTATTAGAAGAACTATAGCAATAGTGTAAACATTGCCAGGCAAAATGATTATCTAGCCCCAAAATAAGGTGACTAGTTTAGAGGAGTAGAATTGAGCTTTTGGGGAGGAATTGCAATTGATTAGGCAACATCTTGGCATGTTACCTCGTGAAGGGACATGTTCCTTTGGTGGCACCCCCATTACATTTGTAGATGCCTCTGTACCTAATGAGAATCCCTCCACATAACTTATGTGGATATGAAATATATTTTGTGTTTTTAGATTAGTATAAGGCATTTTAAGGTATTTAAAGGTATTTAATATGGAACATGACATATTTAGTTTATTTATAATTTCATATTTGGTATTTTGAACATGACATATTTTGTGAGATACTTTGTGTGTGTATGTGTGTGTGTGTGTGTATATGGGGCTTTATATAATAAATATGTCAATAGGTAGTAGCATTTTTATTTGAAAACAACTAGAGATATTTTGTTTTATATGTGGATTTATTGTCTCTAGACTCATTATCTAAATATAATGCATTCTAGTAGCCATATTTTATAGTATACCATGTTAAAAAACACTATTGTGATATATTATTGCAATATAAGTATATTGTAATTTTACTAGAAATTTACAAAATACTGCCCTTTCCTCTAGGAACTTTTATTGTGCCATTCCCCAAAAAATAAAGGTGCCATGTTCTCTCCTTAAATTTCAAGAATTTAAAGTATTTTCCAATGCAATGCACTGGTAAATAATCATTTGCCATTTCCCCTCACTTTTGAAATGCCGCTTATTGTAGGCAAACTTCAAATTATTTTCCAATGCATTGCATTGGAAAATAAGCATTTTGTCCCATTTCACATTGAACTTTTTTGAAATGCCACCTTCTTTTTCACTATTTTCAAAATTCATATCATTTTCTAGCACATTACATTGGAAAATTGTGCCATTCCACACCAAAAGTTTTTGAAATG